CAAACTGCTTGGTTTTAACAATCCAGGATTAATGCGTCTCATATGAGTCACAAAGAATCATACAATTTCAAACTAGGTTGAAATTGCAAAGAAAATGTTTTCTTCTGTCTTCAATTTCACGATTGCTTGCAATCTATTAATCCATCTAACAATTTATACAATGTTGCAAAATATATCTAACAATTTATGCAATGTTGCAATTTCTGCAATGTTACAATTTCTGCAATGTTGCAATTTCAGAAATGTTGCAATTTCTGCAATGTTGCAATTTCTACAATGTTGCAAGGTTACAATATAATCAATGTTGCAATATATGCAATGCTGCAATATAAACAATTTTACAATATATTCAATGTTGCAATATTAGCAATGTTGCAATAAATCCCACCGCTGCCACCAATTTCGTCGCTCGTATTGCAACGTTTTCGTGTTCTGTTAAATCAACTTATACTTTGGTCACGGGGTTACAGAACACTAACTTCTAAAATGATTGTCATTAAAAATCTTTCCGTTTTCTATAATTTTAATTAACAAATAATCTTCCCTTGCTCCTTCTGTCATATAATAACATCATCCTATCTTCTTGCTTTAACACATATAATCAGGCACATAAGTAATTCTTCTAGGAGCTTATAAAAATATTCATAATCACGGAGCAACACATAATACAAATAATCAGGGAGCAACACATTCTAAAGTAATCACGTAATCACGGAGCATCACATTTTAAAGGACTCACAGAGCAACACATAATAAATCACAAATCCTACATAAAATCATATCCTAACACAAACATCCTACGGCTGCTTTTAAGACTGCATTAGAACAAGTTTCCACTTACCCCAATATCCCAGCCCCATTGGGAGCTGAGTTGGGTGAACCGCCTCAGTAGTAAGTCAGGGTGAATCTGCCTTCTAATACAGCCTTTCTTATTTTCAAAATCTAGACAGTTACCTATTCTCTCCAGTCACAGTGTCTGTGAGTTCCTAACTTTCAAAACTTAAGGCTATGTCTCTATATAATTTCACAAAGTTATGTCTCTTTTCAATTTCATAAAGTTTAGTTCTACAACGGCTGGCACTCACCCGACTTTTCCCCTTGTGCCTTTCCCTCACCGTCCATCCAAGACACTTGAAACTCTCTCTTTCCCCCTACATGCCCAACGTCTGGTTTATGGTCAAAGGGTCTCCCTGTTTACCCAAGTTTACAACAACAGTTCTGTGTCGACTCACGACATACCCCCCCCTTTAAAATGCACGTCCTCGTGCACATTAATGATGTGGACACACCGCTGAAGTTGATGGTGCAGGATCCGGCATCAATTCATGAGACTCTTGGGTGTCTTCCGGTTGCTTGGATAACCGAAAAGCGTGCCAGCAATCACGCGCCCATTAGAGTCCAACAGCAAGTAAACTCCGGAAGTCCCGCGGCAGTGTCCTGTTGCTTCAATATTGGCTGCAGCTGGTCAATGTACTCGTTTAGGATTATAGGTTCCAATTTATTACAGCTGGGTAGGGTGATATTAGTAACATTCATGACAAATCCATGTTCCCATGTTGTGAGGGGGAGAGGCAGAGAGAAAGGATATGGCTTGCTATCAACAGGTCGCATAAATCCATCCTTGCAAATATTTGATAAAATAGGTGGAAACTCTTTTAACAATTTGTGTTTTACACAGTTAGAGACAGATTTTTTTTTTTTTTTAAGAAACAATGCTAATTCACAAAAATCAGTATTTCTGTTACAAACTGGTCCCATTGGTGGACAAATCAATAAATCATCATATTTCCTACATACTCTAAAATCATCCATCAAAAAATATTGAGTCCTTGACTCACTAATAACCAAATAATGCTTTGATATATAATGTAACATGCAAACATCAGGATGTGGAATAAGATATGGGAAAAAATCCATTCAAAGACATCAAAAGTGTCTATATGATCACCTTTGAGGGGAATAAGTAAGTAGAAACTCAATCCATCTAATGCAGTCTTATATACAATACGAATAGCAGCTCTGTGTAAACCCAAAAAATTCTGGTTCAGGAGGAAACAATAAACCAATAGTTTTAACAGATATATCATCCAACAATTTCAATAACATAGTGTTAGTGACAATGTAAGAAACATGGTTTCCAACATGGTCTGTAACCCAATTCTTAAATTCATATGATCTGCAGAGATAACACTTAGCTAATTATACATGTAAAAAAGTTTCTAACATAAGTACTTCTTGATTATATTCAGTTATTGTATTATTTAATTTATTAAATATTTTTCAGATTTACTCGTAATCGTTTCCAGTTTATCTAATGGTTGGTGTACTTTTTGTTGAATCACCTAGACTAACATTCAAATATGAGAATGTACATAGCGGACTCTTCTTTCTTCTTCCGTAACTTGATTAAGAGATTGCAGTTTCTCGTTAATGTGATTTATTTGGTCTTGTGTTGCTGTACCAAAGTGAGCATTTGCAATTGATCCAATAATATTTACAACACCTCGTGTATGTCTTTTTCTCTTGGAATCATTTAAGTTATAACCTAAAATATGGATCAAGTAATCATTCATAGCAAAATATAACTGCTTAAACTACGAATCAAACCCAAAACATGTCACATAATTAAATCACTTCGCATAATTAAATCACTTGTAAAATCATTATCTTTTACACTATCAAAATTGCAACTAATATTGATTGTAAGGTTTTCAGCTTTTTTTAATGGGTTCAGTGATATCATCAAATAGTTATTTTAAAAAGAAATATAATAATAAATTACTAATATACATTTTTATGTATATTCTGTAGGTTCTTTATCCTCTTCAATTTAATTTTCTAATGCACTCCCCATT